CCGCTCCCTTCCCGCTGCCGCATCTCTCCGAACCGGCCACGGCCACGGCCGAGACCTCCCCTGCGGTGCGTGGCCCGGTCTGCACCTCCGCACCCCACCGGGGTTGGGAGGCGGTGGGACTCCCCCAGCCTTGCCTCTGCCCCAGCCTGGGTGCTCCTGCGGGCAGCGCGGGGCTGGCGCAGCCCCCCCACCTGCCCGCTGCCTGCCTGCTGCCTGCACTAGCAATATTTCTGTCCATCTCGGCCCCGGCTGTGTCCCCGGCCGCGTTTGTGCCTCTCCCCGATACGTTCCTCCCCCGGGATGTGGGAGGTCGGATGGCAGCAGGGACAACTTCCCCCCCCCGCCCTCCAAGGAGGCTGCAGGTGGAAGTGGGGCTGGAGACGGAGCAAGGCCGGTGGCACCCCACACCATGGGGCAGAGCTTGGGTTTGGGGGGCTGGGGGGGCCCGCTGTCGAGGGCTGCACGGCTGCGTCATCCCTCTGTGCCATCCGCACCCGGCCACCCACTTCCCCGCTATTATCTTACACCCGCTGTTGCTTCTGCTCCCAAATTAGACACTTTGGGGGGGGGACGACAACACACACTGGCTGCGTGCGGGTGCCAGCGCAGCACCCAGCCTCCCCCACCCCAGCACCCCGGGGAGGAAGCACTCACCGCTTTGCCCATCCCTCGCCAGGTTTCCCCAGCCATGGGAGGGGTGCTCTTACCTGTGGAGTGCAAGTGCTGGCCCCACTGTGGGGCTGGGTGTCAGGCTCCCTTGTGGGGTACTGCGGGTGCGCTGAGCTTGCCCGGGGCAGGGGAGGGTGCCAGTGCTCAGCCCCAGCAGGATGGGTCCCCACTAAACCAATGGGAACTAATTTTATGAGCACAGATTAGCTGAGTGCTTGCAGAGACAGCAATAAAATCCCAATATATGCATCCCACCCGGGTCCCCTTCCTGGCTAATCCTGGCATCATGCCACCAGCGCTGGCAGCCTTCCCACCCGCCCGCAGGCCAGCCTTGCCCTTGCCGACCTGCGACACCGAGCCTGATGCCACTCCAGTGGCTGG